CTGAGAAATGGTTTAGCCAAATCACAGTGCCTCTTGTCACACTGAATCATGTTCAGCTGCTCTATTCCATGACCAAATTGCTGATATTTAACTGCTTCCTTGTCTCCTCCATTCTGTGAAGGGGGGACAGTATAGGAGGGGGGAAAGTATTAAAGCAAGGGGAAGCTGATTCTATAATTTTCTGGCTGAATTTCAGTGCTTTGAAGTATGTATAAAGTGCCCCATACAGCATTTATAAAAGAGAGGTATTTCATCAAGTAACTTTATTTTTAGCTACTACAATGTAAAATATATTGCAAAAGGATTTCAGGGATTCTAATAACACAGAATTGTTCACTTTAGGACTGCACTGAACCGTGTTGTGTGTAGCAACTGAAATTAATAAATAGGCCCAGATTTCCAGTAGTATTGAGAAGAGGAACCCCTCTCTCTTCCTTGTTGAAGTCTTAGTAGGGATCTGACATTTCCTAAGTGGCTTTGAGAAATCTTTGCCCTCACAGTCAGCACAGCTGGCACTGCCAGCCAAGCTGAGAGGTCTGTCCTTATGGCAGAGGAGTCTGGGGCACCCAGGCTCCCGAGCAGCCCCTGGGCACAGCCTCCTGCCGTGGCATTTGAGTGACCTCTCCCTCGAGCCCCGCTCCCATCCCAGCCAAGCTGGTCAGCCCAGGCTGAAGCTGTTCAGCAGCACAGCTTGGGGAGGTCAGAGGTTCCCCATAATTCACCTGATGCCCCCAGAATAACAGATGGTTTTGTCACAGGACAGTGTGTCAGGGTCTGCCAGGCCAAAGGCTCTGCTGAGGGAGCGAGGTTTGCTCGAAGCATGACTGACACAGCAGAGCGTGGATGTCTCCAGTGCAACACAGGAGCTTCTTTCTGGGCCTGTAAAGCTCTTGCTAATACCCAGAGTGAGCCAAATTGCAGTTATTACACCAAAATAAGAATTATATGTATTTATTTTCCAGCAAAGAAATTGTAATTTAGTGTTAATTGCAGTGACAGTCAAGTTTACTCCTTAAAAAAAAGTACATATGGTGGATTTAACTCATCAAAACATTTCAGCATGGGGATAACTTGGACTGTAAACTCCACTTGAAAGTAACAATTGCTTGAATGTTTCCTTTTCTTACTCCCCTGTGATGGCTAAAAAGTTCTTCAGCTCTTTCATTCAAGTTGTCTGCCGCTTCTCAAAATACAAAAAGATGTGAAGACAGACACTAACCCATTCAGTGCCGAAAACTTTCAGTGTAGTGCCATCAATTAAAAGTGTATAATGTGTTTGAAACTGGCAAAATAATTCAAGCAATATGTTCTGGGTGTGAAGAATCTGTTATCAAGGACTCGCTGTGCAATTACAAGTTCTGTGGTTTAGGAACTGCTAGAGGAGAAATCATCTGTGGTGTTTATAGTTGTGTGCTTTAAAGTTTACTAGGGACAGCAGTAAGCCCAGCTGGGAGCACGCTTTTTTCCCAGTGCAGCTGATTTTCCAGTTTGTTATATTGATTGATTTGCCATTTTATTATATTGATTTCAAAAATGTGCAGAAGGAAAGATCTTTCTTTGGTATGTTTTAAAATGTTAAAAAAGTCTTTCCCTATAAATGATTCCTTCTGGAGCAAGAGCAGAGGATGAGGAGGGTGAATGTGTTCTTCCACCCTTTTCAAAATAAAGACTTCTCCTTCTGGAAAGGAAGGGCTGGCTGTCATCTGTTGGAAAAGTTTTCTGTTTCATTTGCATGTGACTTTTGGATCCACTCTGAACCCCTGTCCCCTCCTGATGGCCTTGCACAGGTCATAAGAAGCAGCAGGGCCAGCCAAGGCATTGAGGACTTGTGTGTGCTGGCATGTAGAACTCTGCAAGGGAAATACCTGTGCCTTCTGTACAGTCATGAATAACTGAGTCACCTGCTTTGTCATAAGCTATCTAAAGTTGAACAGGAATAGAGCCTTCAGATGTGCTGAAACCTTTGGGATGAGCTGGTAAAAGTTGTTAAAGGAAATGGCACTGGGTCCTTCCTCCAAAACCATAGGATTTATACTGGTGACATGGGCTGGCTGCTTTCTTTTTTATATGGTTCAGATTTATCACTTCATTGAGTGATTCAGTGGTGGCAGTTTTAAAGGACTATTTGATTCATAGTTAAAGGAAGGATATTTTTTAGAAACTAAAAACAAAGAAGAATGACATAGATTTGGAAGCCTTACTAGTTTTTCTGCAAGCAGTCAAGTCTTTTTTGTTAAAAATTGCCTTTTGAATTCTCAGTTGCCTGTACACATGTTGATCTGTACATTTTTATGGCTTAGAATATGGAAACACAAGGAACAGAGGACTTTTGTTTAGCTCTCACCCCAGTCCTACCACCTTCCCTGTGTCCCTGGCCAGACTGGCCGTGTTTGCAGTGCCCCATTTCTGTCCCAGTGCCCTCAGTGACAGACAGCTTTTCTGCACGTTCCCAGGGGAGGGGACATTGCTGTACTCTTCTTTATTGCCATCTCCTTTGCACTCTTGGGGTCTGACTCTGAAAGCACAGTCAGGAAAACTGGCTCTTGTGCCATTGATTCAGGGCAGTTTTAGGTACCAGGAGGCATTTCAGCACAAAGCTATCAGGGTTCCAAACTGCTCAAAGAGGTCTAAGATTTGGGAACCCTTGAACTAACAGTAAGTTCCACTTATTAATAGTAAGTAAGGGCATTAGGTTACATCCATGTTTTAAGTTGAGTCACTTAAAAGAATTTTAATTGTTAGGTACCCCACATCACTTAGTAGGTACATAAATGTGTGCATCCTTTGCTGTGCCCCTGTTGTGAATTTTCTTGCACACCTGAACTAATTTCACTACCTGTGAAAAGAGATGTGTCTGAAGCCACGTGGAGCCTCATTCTGGAGAAGTAGCATTTGGTCTCTTATTTTAATCTATCATGAGACACTCTTTCTAGAATGTCCAACAAGACAAGCTACAAGGGGAGAAATTGGACAAAATTATCAATTGTAGAGCTGGCATTGATTTGGATGCCAATCACATTTAAATCAGGTAATGTGCAGGACTATGAAATGGCTGAGTTTTCATTAATTGATCAGAAGCAGACTAATCAGCTGGTTTGGTCATCAGTTTGGAGATATTTTCACAGACTATTTTTTGAATAGTCTGTTTATTTGGAAAATCTGTCTTTGCATAATTAAATCACAGGCATGGTTCTCATACCCGAATTTGTTTCAAGAGGCCTTCTTCAGTGGACCTTGATGTCATTCCTGCAATATCTGTCATTCCCCTGTCAGCAGTAAATGGCAATGAGCAGAGCCAAAGCTGCTCCTTGAATCAGGACCGCTGGCAAAGTGAAGTCTTGTTCCGATGTGTAAGTTGTGGATCTAATTTTGCAATGATAGTGTTAGCAAACTGTGGCAATGTGAATGGTTTAACTTTTAGCAAACTGTGGCAATGTAAATGGTTTAACTTTTAAGTTCTCATTTTCCTTCAATTTTCCATGAGGGCACTAATCAAACTAATGTTTTGTGCGGTCAGGAGTGACAGGTTTTTCTCAGGGCTCGCTGGGAGCTGACAGTGGGCAGTATTTATTAACAGTGCCTGCAATAATCTGTCAGCTAAATGGAGGATTGGAGATTTTCATAGCAGAAACAGATAAGTCTTTGCAAGAGATTTTCTTCAAATGATCAGTGTCTTAGGCCCAATGCACGTATTTTTTTCCACAGAATAATATTCCTTATGTAATAGATTACTGTTGACAAAAACTGTGGGATGTTTTCAGAGGAGAAGCTGTATCTCATTACAGATCCAATGTTACATCTTTCCTTATAGCTTTGAGAATAAATGGGTGTAATGCATTAGAACTTGTAAAGCCATCTGAAACAATCACCTCCTAATGGGGCAGCATTGCTGGGTAGTGCTTTACCTGTCCATGTGGGCCCTGCCCAGGCTCACCTGAGGTTTCTGACATAATGCTCCTATGTTGATGTATTCCCAGAATGTTCACAGGGGTTTGCCTGCATTCATTCCTTAGTTCTCACACCTTGCACACCCAGGGGGGTTCCGTGCATTTTGTCTGTGTAAATTCTTTGTGGCTGTGGCAGTTGTGTTTTGGGTGCTTCATGCCTTCCTCAGCCACAGATAGGAGATGAATTGTATTGATTCCTGGTTTGTAAATAAACGTGACTTGGTGGATTTCTAAATGCCAAGATCTCTAGAAGCTGTAAAATTGTGTATTATTGAGAGTACCTTACAACTATTGCTAATAATAGATTAGCTAATAATATGACAGTTTTTAATAAGACAAGACTTGAAAGATGGGTAAGGAATGCCATATCTCCCTGGGTGGGACTGAGCAGAGGCTTGAGAAAAGTCAATCTTCACAGCTGGAGCAAGTACTTGTTGGGTGTTAGCTACAGCCTGAGCAAAAATCTGCTGTGAACAGCACAGAGAGCTGTAGCGGGTCTGGGAACCTCAGGGATGCTCCGTCTGTCAGGTGGGATGATTGATGTCTAGCCCAACCCTGTCACTTCTTGTGTGGTTCACAAAGTACCCCAAAACACGGGTAGCATTGCTTACGTATCAGTAAACTCAAACATACTCTGAACTCACTGCTAATTCAGCATTCCAAATTCTTACCTGCCCAGCCCAAAGCTATAGCCTTAAACTTTCCAAGGTGTGAAGGACCTCCATGATGCCCTCAAGATTTCCATGGTCCCCAAATGCCACTTCTGCAAGATTTGTATGAACTGCTGCAAGTATGCTTTCCGCAGCTTGCTCTGTCAGCCGGGCATGGGAAATCAGATGCACTGTTGTACAGGGGCTGAAGATAAAATTGCCTAAGCAAAGAAAATCAACTGAAAAATATGGTTAATATATTGGTCCAGCGTAAACTGTTAGTTTTGATGGTTCCAATAATTATTTCTGAGACTGTGCTTAAGGATAACATGTGCATCTTTGTATATTCTTGCATGTTTGTAAAGCCAAATTACATGTTTGTTCTGTTTTCATTTTTTTCCAGAATTATTGATCAGCGATTTGAGAAAGTTTCATATTTTGTCTTTGGAGATTTCAACTTCAGACTGGATGCCAAAGCAGTAGTAGAGGTAGGACTTCTCTTCTTCTGTTGTAGACCCTACCAGGTTTGGTTTTTTTTTCCTGTAGAAAACCTAAAAGTGACTTTACAAAGTAATGTTATTATTGACATCAGACTTAAGCAAGACTACTTCTAACAGGAACGTCCAACAAGTAACTAACATTGTGTGGTTGTGACTTTTGCCATCTCCTTATAGCTCACAGTGAATCAGAATAGTTTCCTCCAAACAGAGGAAGTGCTGCATTACCTTCCTACTCTGAGGAAAACCAAGAGGTGTTTCCTAAATGTCCACGATAGAAATCTACACTTTAAACGTACAGGCAGTCATCAGTACAGACCTTTGTGCCTGTAGCATTTTGATGTGCAAGGGTGACTAGGAGATTTGTATAAAGCCAGAACAATGTACTAAACCTTTTTGATTATGAGTTGAGATAACCTTGACCTGAATGCTAAAGCTCCAGGTAAGCTGGTGTCAGAAATAATACCCAGATTGAAAACCAGTTTAATCTTATGGTTTTTGCACTTTAATTTTCTGAGGTACTGCAATGTCTTTTTGGTGTCCTTGAGGGTAGGCGTGTATCTTTTGAGCCAAAAGTTTTTATTTTGTAAGTGTAACTGTGAGAAATATCCTGTGTTCCAAAGGCTGGCATTCCCCCATTCAGGTGCAGTGCTATTCTCCTTCCTTATGTGATGAGTAGTCCATCCATTGAAAAACTGCAGTTTGATGTTACAGCATTTCATATGGAACTAGTAACTTCTTCTTGGAATCCTTTCTGTAGTGCAATCAGTTAGCCAAGAAGCTTAAAGCATAGTTGAAGTGAAAGTCAAGTCACTAATTCAGAATATGCAGCTTTGTGCTGCATATGTTAAGGGTTAAAACCTGTTCTGCTGCCCTGTGGCTGCCAGTTATCTGTGTTCAGAGATCACTTCAAAGAGCTTTTATGGCTCTTCTCTTCACCAGTGGTGTGAGGGTATCATTGAGGATGCTGCTGCCTGAGAAGCCCTGTCAGTCACGCTGCAGGAGACTTACCTCCTGCACTCAGTACTGATGGAGGGGGCTCCAAGCTTTTCCAGACTCACATACTGCCAGCAGTCTGCAGGACTGAAGCTGCAGAGGGTGTTCGCTTTGGTACCAATAGATTAAGGTTTCTATGTTTATATCTGTCAGTTTCAAAATCATCCCCATCAAAAAAACCAGTGTCAGTAATCCCAAATGATGGAAACTGAGTGAGCTGCAGAGCAAACAGGGTGAGCCCAGAGGTTTCTGAGCCTGACACAGTTCTCTTCATTTTGGGAGTGTTTTACCCCTAGCAGTTTATATTGCTGCGTGTGAGCACAAAAGGTGTAATTGGAAGATGAATCACATTAATTTTCTTATTCTTCCTACCTAAGATGTAAGCCTGTGTTAGTGTACAAAGCACAAGAATAATACAGATTTTCTATTGGTTCTTTTGGAGAAGTAACATAGCCCAATAATCAGAACTTCACCCAGCCACTCTGCAATGTTAATTAAACATAACTGAAGTTGGTTCAGAAACTTCCAGTTTATCCATGGACAGCTGAAGTCACAGTATGTTTGCTTTGTAGTGTTTTGTACTTGATGTAGTTTATAAATCTGTATGTCAGCAGACCCCAAAGCTGTAAGAAGCAGTTGTGTGATGTGCCTGGGATTGTCTGTAGGTACCGGGACGGTCCTGAGGGAGTTAATAGTGTACAGGGCTGGCTCCTAGGTGACAGACCCGTTCCTAAAGTATAATTTGGAAAGACAGAGCTATAGAGGGAATTGCACGAGACAGGACTTGGTGGTCTGATGGTGTTTAAGATCCCAAATCACCTCCTGAATTAGCTTGTAAAGGGTGTGGCTCAAACGTGCTGTGGCCACAGCCGTGTACAGCTGGCAGAACAGGAACCAGTGCAGGCAGAGGTGCTTCTGTCCCAAAGGCTCAGTGCCAGCCCCAAGGTGAGCCTGTGCTCAGCTGGGAGCCTCCCGCTGCAAAGGCTGTCCCAGTCCCTGCTGGTATTTAAACGTGTGCCCATGCAAATGGATATTAACTACTCTGGAGTATTCAGCACTGGAGTTAATACTGGGAATTGTAAGGGTTAATCCACTGACCTGTCATCTTTGTGTATGATACTAAATTTATCTCTGCTTTTCTTGCTGACCTTTTGAATTCCCTCTTGAGACCACAGCTGCTGAATGCTTGAACACTGAGATGCTACAAGCAACACTTGTGTAAATGCAGACTGTGCTTACATCAAACATAAAGAATAAAGTGTATTTGTAAATAACTTCCTAATTAAGCCATTTAAAGGGAGAATCTGAGAGCTGTTCAGAATGTAGAGCCCAGACCCTGATGTGCAGTGTCCTAAATCAGATGCAAAAAATGTTGTGCATATTAATTCATAGTTAATAGACTATAAATCGTTAATATGTAATTTATTGAACACTTATGGGAGCCTTAATTTAAGTCAGATTGATTTCCTTGCTAGGAAAATCTGCTTTCCTGTTGTTGGAGTGATCCAGGGGGAGGTTGTTACTGGCACATGGGCACGGCCAGGTGCTGTTGCTGAGGTAGCGCCAGTGAATTTTCCAGGTGTGTTTGCTGCTCATGCCTGGCCTGCCTCAGCAGCCTCGCTGGGGCCAGGTCCCAGCACATCCCAGGCTTCCCACGCACGGGCTGCCACCTGGGGCTGCCACCTGCAGGGCACCCTTTCCTCTTCTTCCTTAGAGAAGATGCTAAATAAAGAGAGATTTCCCATTCCAGCTGGCCCAGGCACTGTGCTGGAACTTGGAGCTGCTTCTCTCCTGTACCCTGCCCCAGCCCAAAGCATCTCAGCTCCCAGCTGTGGCTGTGCTTGTCCAGAGCAGTATTTCTCTTTCAGTCTCAGTGAGCCAGTTTACCACTCTTGCTCTGTTTTAGTCACCATTCAACTGTTTTAGGTGGGTCTAGGCCAAGGAAGAGTATTTTTTCAGTCAGCTGGCCATAGTAACAATCTGTATTGATCTCTGAGAATTACTTTACTTTAATATTTAAAGAAGTTATTCATTGAAACTCCATAATATAAGTCTTCCTCATGCAATACATACATTTTAGGAAAGTATAAACAGGCTTAAGAAACTGGGCTTATTTTGACTGTTTGGGAGTAAAACCCTCTTTCTGAGACTGCTGATTCAAGAGTCTCTTAGAAAAGTACCTTGTACTTCCAAGAAAAAAAAAAATTAAATTGTGTGCTCCTCAGTCCCAAGAATGGCAATTCAGTAATGGGTTCAGTTTGTCAGGCTTTAGGAGAAAGTCACATTAATCACAAAATCCATTTGTTCAAGGTAAACCATAGCATTGCCTTGTATCCAGGAAAAAAACATTATTTTCATTACTAGAGCCTTGTTAGGCTTGGTGGTAGCTTGGTAAACTGGAGAGGGATTAGGTGTATCATATATGAAAATTTATAAAGGTAGCAGCAGAAGTGGTGTTTCAGGATTCCAGACATTTTGGCCTACAAAAAGCTTTGAAGTTCTACCTGCAGAGAAAAAAAAAAAAAAAAAAAAAAAGTTCTCCTCGTCTTAAAAATCAGAATTAACCTTGTCCACCCACCCTGTGTGCTCCATGGGTTACAGCCAACCAGAGTATTTCCTTTCTAGACTTCTGCCAAGCAGCCCTTTAACAAGCCAGGACTGGAATTGCTGATTAAATGTTTTTTAAAAGGTAATAACTGTTCATAACAATTTACATGTCTGGCTCCATCATTCACTTGCACTGTGCCTCTCTGCCACCTCTGACCATGTGATTTTTATATTATCTGATAAAATAGGAGCGACTTCATTCTGGCATGACTTTTTAGCTCCCACTGTGTTGCTGATGCTGCCGTGAATCACATAATTTCCATTTGATCACACTGTCTTGGCACAACGTGGTATTTCATTCTGAACAAGCCAGTGGGGGCATGGTATCCCTTTATCCGGCGTGCTCGTGCCAGCAGAAGGTGGAGGAGCACTTCTGGTGCTGCCACAGTGTGTGCCTGCAAAATGGGGACCTCTTCCTCTGAGACATCACTCGCTCTTTTCTGAACAAACAGCTCTTGTTCAAATTAAAAGCTGATTAACATCTTTTCACATCTGAATAATTTATTTAGATCTTACTCAATTCTGAAGAAGTATTTTAAGTTGAACTTGTTTCATCTCATGTACTGGATAGGAACAAGGATCTTTGCAAACTCCAGCCAACAAATGAACCATTAGTAATTGTCATGAAAAAGATTAATAGTTAATTAGACAATTATCACTGATTTGAAAAGCTGATTCAAGTGAGGTAGTCAGGTGATGGATGTATGTAGAGAGTTAATTATCTCCTCCTTGGTGCAGATGTGCTTCCCTGGACAGAAACAGGTCACCTGTCAGGATGAGGCTCTTGCTCTCCTCGTGCATTCAGGATACACCACCAACTACCTGGCTGTCCTGTCAAGTGCAAATATTTGTGTGTATGTATATATATTTTTTAATCTGAGTAATATTTGCAGAAGATGCTTGAATGCATCAGGAAAAGGGCATGAAAGAATTGCACAGTCTTGTTGTTACAAACACAGCAATATTTTTTTTTTAAATTCTGATCAATTTTGCTTTGAGAAAGCAGTAAAGTTCCATTGCATTAAAAATACTGACATGGCATATAAAGCAAGTGTAGTTGTGGGTATACTCATTGTGCCTCCCTATTCCAAACAAAACCAGAAGGTTAATTCCTGGGCAGTGATAACGTGCAGATGCCCACATATCCATTTGGGATATCAGGTGCAACCATTTAATTCATTTAATTCAGGCCAAGTGCTGAGCTCCAGGAGGTCCTGCTCCATAGGGCTGGTAGTTTAAAACTGTAACAGAGTCCCTCCCCTTCCTACTGCAGTGAAGTGATACTAAGCCATTTTTGTAAGAGAAAAACCACATTGCTTTATTTCTGAGATAAACCAGCACATCACGAAATAACTCAATGGTTTACAAGTTTTAGATCATGTTTTCAC